CCCAGGCCCGGGAGGGGCAGGCAGTGCTCTTTGTTCAGAGAGCTCCTTCCTTCTAGCCTGGGAAGGAATGCAGCTGGTGCTCCCACACCCAGGAGCGCCCTCTGCCCATCTGGCACACGAGCAGCTCCTGACACCCCACTCCAAGCCTGACCAAGCCCTCAGGATCTTCCGAATTAGCAGAAGATGGGAAAGCTCTTGGCCCTCCTCTCACCAGGGCCAGGAGCCTGCCTGTCACGCCTGTAGAGCTGGGGGGCGGGGGGTGGCCCTGCCCTGAACTCCCTCCACACGCAGGGCACCGGCAGCTTCATTTTACCCCAGGGCCTGACCGTGAGGCCCCAGTCCGGGAGGCTGCGTGGAAAGGGACGGCAGAGACAGGACGCCCTGTGAAGCAAGACGAGGAAAGAGTGTGCAAGGGCCCCAGGTGCTCCAAAGTGGAGGGAAAATAAAAAGAAGTCTTTGTTCTGGGCCCCTGGAGCTACTGGCCCATCCCTGCCTTGGGCTGTTCTGTGTGGTGGAGAGGACAGGCCTCCGGGCTTGGGCTCAAGTCCTGGCTCTGTCGCTTCTTGGCAGTACAGTTCTGGATGAATCCCTTAAAATTACAGGTTCTCTGCCTATAAAATGGGGATAATAATACCTACCTCACTGTATTTTTGTGAGGCCCTATAAGAAGCCATGCTTGAACCCAGTCTGGGTTGGGTCCCCTTCTGTCACTCATGTGATGCTATGTATTCCATATAGGGCTATGGTTCAAGATGCTCTACCATATTAGAGCTGGTGGGAAAGTTAGTAAACCTTGCTGTGCCTCAGCTTCCTCATCTGTAAAATACGGATAATTTTAGAGACTACCTTGAGAGACTACTAAGATTAAATGAATACATATGTGCAAAGTACTTAGAACAGTATCTGATACTTAGTAAATTAAACAGAAGTGGTAGTTCTTATTGTTCAAAGCTGAATTCTTGAAATTTAACATCTGTTTTGTACAAGGGCTGTCCAAAAAGTATCCAGCCAATGTTAATATAACGAGAACATATTACATGGCTGGACACTTTCTGGACAGCCCTTGTATACCAGACCATAATTCATTCAGTCATTCTTATGAATATGTATTGAACACCCATCATGTTCTGACACTGTTCCAAGAGCTGGGATACAGTGATAACACAGACAACATCTCTGTTCTCATGAAGCTTTACAGTCCAGTGCGGGAGGCAGAAAACAAAAAAGAAAATATCAAGTACTAATGAGTGCTTGATAAAAGAGGGTGAGGAGAGGAAACATGTGGTTAGGAGAGTTTCTCCCAGGCCTTAATAGCATAAAGGAGCCAGCCATGCAAAGATCTGGGGCAAGAGTGTTCTGGGCAGAGAGAACAGCAAGTGCAAAGGCCCTGAGGCCAGGAATGCGCTGGCATGTCTGAGGATTAGAAAGGCCACTACGGCAGGAAGGCAGAGCATGTGGGGGCTTGAGGCCAGGGGAAGAGTTTAGGTTTTATTATAAAAAGGATGGTAAGTCAGTTTAGGCAAAATGGAGAGTAGTGGTAACACGATCTGGATTATATTTTAAACAGATCCAAAGTAACTGCTGGGTGGAGACTGGCTTAGGGTGAGGTGTGGGTTACAAGCACGGAGAGAAGTTAGGAAATAAGACGAAAAATGATAGTAGCTTAGATTAGCGTGACAGCATGGGGGTGGAGAAAAACAAGTGGAAACTGCATATATTTGGGAGGTAACAGAATTTTGATGAATTGCTTGCAAGGAGTGATAGAGTGGAACTAAGGATGTCCCTTAGCTTTTTGGTTTGAGCAACTAGATGGATGATGGTAAGATTTACAGAGATTAAAAATAATAAGATGAGCTATAATACCATTTATTGAACACTTAGTGCAAGTTAGGCACTGTTCTCAAACAACCCTGCCGGAGAGTCCCTAATATCATCCTCCCCACTTTAGGCAGTATTCTCAAACCTCAAACGCCCCTGCTAGGGAAGTACTAATATTATCATCCCCATTTTACAGACGTAGAAACCGTGGCATAGAGGGGTTAAATAAATTTCCTGAGGCACACAGAAGTGGGGAAGTGGGCTGCAAACCCATTAGTCCGACTCTAGAGCCTGTGTGCCTAACCACTATGCCACATTGTCTCTTAGCTACTAGGTAAACTGGCTCCAGGAGTGTGAGGGCAGAGACCCTATTTGTATTCTAGATAGTCCTGGCCTGGTACAGAGTAAACCCTCAATAAATGCTTGTTGAATGAATGACGTGAACGCATTTTGTAAATTAAGAAACGCTACGTAAATCTTCTAATTGCTAATAAATCCTTCAAATAACGGGAATTCCACTCATCTCAAATTTTTTCTAATGCTTAACAACTTTTCCTGGGAAAAGGAAAAGAATTGAGGTAGGACACTTATTGGAGGCAAATAGCAGCTTGACAACCTGGCCTGGGACAGATTCAAGAAATCTGGCCATTAGCTGGGCATGGTGGCGCATGCCTGTAGTCCCAGCTACTTGGGAGGCTGAGGCAGGAGGATCGCTTGAGCCCAGGAGTCTGAGGTTGCTGTGAGCTAGGATGACGCCATGGCACTCTAGCCCGGGCAACACAGTGAGACTCTGTCTCAAAAAAAAAAAAAAAAAAAGAAATTTGGCCAAGAAAACTCCCTCGGCTGGCATCTTGTCTGGTATAACCTCCAGGAACTTTGGGAAAGTTCCATTCTACCAAGGAATTACTCCCTCACCCCATCTTCTATCTTCCTATCTATTCCCTTTAAACTGTCAGTGAATTAACACTTGAACACTGAGAAGCCTTTTCTTCCTGCAGGTGGGAAAATATTTAAGATAAAGGCCTGATTATATAAATAATGTCTCTGAATGACAGTTTGATATACATATTCAAGGCAAGAGAACAGCCTTGAGTCTTCCTTAGCCCACTTATTCTCTTTGAAGTCATTTCTCTGGGTGTGCCCCCTGCAGTCCCAGCAGGCAGTCTGTGTGGGATCCTCCCCCATGAGATCCAGAACCATGAGCGACTCTTGCCCTATTTTACACAGCAATGAGGGGGAAAGGACACTGGCAGACTAAGGAAGACAGAGCTGGAAGGGACCCTAATTAAATCCTAACACCTTACAGGTTAGTTGGACTCCTGTGCCCTTTCCACTATATCCTGGGGCTTTCTCCCACTTTTGTAACGGAGTGAATCCCTTTTCAAGGATCCCCCATTCCTCCCGTTAACAAAGACACTTACTACTTATTTTAACTACAGTCAAGATGCACTTACATGTATTAATAGCTCGCTTGCTCTTCACAAGTATCCTGTGATAGAGGCATTCTGATGAACCCCATTTTACAGGTGAGAAAACTGAGGCTCGTAATAAATGAGACAAGTTCTAAACTCTGGGTAACCCTAGGTTTCTGATCCCAAATTTGTGGGGCCCTTACTTTGGGTCAGGGACTGTTACGTGCTTTTGTCTATATAAACACCTGGGCACCGGTATTATCATACCATTTTTTGGATGTGTAAACTGAACTAGGGAAGGTATTTGACCAGAGTCACAGAGCCAGAACTCAAATCTGGCTGTCACCCAAGGCCATCCCTCTTCTAGAGTGCCCTGTGCCCAGGCCCAGGTGGGTGCTTCCCCTCCCCTGGGTAGTGGTGGTGGGAGGGGCATGCTTGCTTTATTGGCCAGGCGTGCACAATCCTTCACCTTGCCCGAACCAAGAAGGGCGGTCTTGCTGTCTAAGTCCTTTGCGAACTTCCAGTGGGTGGTCGGGGGCCCGAACCACGGCCCAGCTTTGTGTCACCCCACCTGAGGAGCCTGCGCAAGGCCGCGCCTCGGCACCGCCCCACCTCCGTCCACTGGGGCGGCAGCAGCGCCAGCTCCAGGCTCAGGCCAGAGACCACAGGGTGACCCGCACCCACAGCCGCCTCCATCTTGCATTTGGGGACCATTATTTATTCCCCGTCCTTACAAACACTTCATGGAACGCAATCCTTGTCCCGACTCCGCCCCTCCCACCCCAACTCCCCTGCCCTCCGCATCCTCTTCCTAAACTGCCAGCGCCAAGATCCCAAGTGGGCGCAGGATGCAAAGTGGAAGGAAGGTCTGGACACCGCAGTTCCAGGTCCCGGTCCCTCCCAGACGGGGGTGGGGAGATCCTCCCTCATCTGGAAAAGCCGATGGTCTTGGGCAGGGCCGCGGCCGCCGCCTTGGCCGGACCGAACCCGCCCGGCCACGCACCCCTCGTTCATCTCACAGAGGAGCAGTGGGAGCACGGGGGGAAGGGGGGATAGGCGTGCCCGCGTGTGTGGGTGTGTGTGTGTCTGTGTGTTGGTTGGGATGTATGCGCACGCGCGCGTGCGTTTTTAAGATCCGGGTGTAATTCCGCAAAGAAGGTCCAGGAGATCGGGCATGGCCAGTGTGGACAGAGCTTTGTGTCCAAAGAGGCAGCGCAGGGAATAACACGGGGGCGGGGGAGCGGGGGTTCTCCGGGCGGGGCGATCCCATGAGTTGTGTCTGAGCACAGGGAGGGGAGCGCGATTCCTCACCCGGACGGGACGCCTGGGTGTAGGAAGCTCCGGACTTCGAATCCTGCAGGAGGGTCAGTGAGCCCCAGCCCGGACTGGTGCGACGCGGGAGACACCCCCAGGATGCTCCAAGCTAGTCACCAAGCACGGGCCGCGGGGTCGCATTCCCGAAACAGCGCCCGCAGGAGGGTAAGGGGCGGACTCCAGGGGTACACCACACCTCCCGCCCCAACCCGGCTCCTCGGATCCTAAGGGCGCCCTGCCCGCCACCCACCAGGCCCCGCCTCGGGCGCTGACAGCGCCGTGCCCGGCCCGGGGGCTTCCCCGCTGAGCGAGGAGCGCGGGGTGCGCGGCGCGAGCGGGTTACGCCCCCCCCATCGGTGCCGACCGCCTCCCCACCGCGCAGGAGCTCGGCTCAGGGACGCGGCCGCGGCGTCCACGCTCCCGCCTGCTCCGGCGGTCCCTCCCCCAGGCACTCACAAAATTGTCGCCGCAGCCGTTGTCCGGACACAGCACGTAGAAGGAGACGCCGGGGTCGGCGTAGAAATCCATCCTGCGCTCGGTCTCCTCGGTGGCGATGAGCTCGAAGGGCGTGTTGGAGCACCATTTCTCCGCAACATCGGCCAGCTGCTGGAAATCCATCGTGGCCCGCCGCGCCCGCCGCTCCCTCAGGCTCGGCGCTCGCCGCCCGCTCCCGCTCCCTCCGCCTCCCGCCCGCCGCCCGCCCTCCTCGCTCCTCGGCGCCCTCCTCCCGGGCGGGCCGCGCGGCGCGGCGCTCGGCTAGGCTCGGCGCGGGCTCCCGGCGGGCGGCGGGCCGGGCAGCTCGGCTCCCTGGCGGTGCCTGGGCTGGAGCCGGCCGGGACTGTTTACATGCGGTGTGTAACGGGGGCGGGCGGCGGCCGGGGACAGCGCGGCGCCGCGCCCGCGGCTCCGCCCCCGCCCCGCCTCCCCCCGCCCCCTTCGGGCCGCCGCGAGGCTGGCGCGGCCGGACCGGGGCCGGGGCGCGGGGCGGCGGAAGGGGCGGCCGGCGCCTCCGCGGGCCCCTCGGGGTTCCCCTCCGCTCCGGCCCCCCTTTATTTTTAAACGAACCCGGAGCATCCCGGGCCCTGCCGAACGCAGGGCCGCCCCGGCCCGTGACGTCATGGGCCCTAGCCAATCACCGCAGCCGGAGGCCTGCGCCGCGGCCTGCGAGCCCGGTGACGTCACAGCGCGGGCCCGGGATCTGCGGCTCTGCCGGTTACCGCGAAGCGGGGCGAGCTCCTGGCGCCGGGTCCGCGTTTACGTGAAGCTAGCGTTTTCCCGAACGCTATTTAAAGGCAAGGGAAGCCGCAGAATTGCAGATAACTTGGGCCTTGTCTGAGGCTAGCAGTGGAAGACCTGAGAAAATCTAAGGAAAAGATAATTTTGATATTTTCAGAAACCAAAGTTCTGTCCTCCGATGGACGTAAAGGAGTGTCTCCCCTGAGTGCATTTACCAGACGGTAATATGAATGTCGATTTGGTGAGGAAGCGTTGTGGGGTTTTTTTTTTTTTTTTAGCGTCACATAAAGCTGAATATTTCTTAGAAATAAGCCTCAGAAGACTAGCTTCACTATTACTCAGCTTGAATTCATGTTGCGTAACCTAAAATGGTCAGCTGCTGGTTTGGAAGACGAGAAAGTACATTTTCAAACAAGAATATGTGGCCCAGCGATTGCACCTGTTGATTGCTCATTGGTTGCCGGGTACAGGACAGGCATTACTGGATTGCAGAAAATGCGTTAGACGGAGTCCGCGCCTGCAGCACTTGAATACTGCAAGCAGAGACACGTTATAAACATTCAATCAGCATTTTTCTTTGAAGTGTGTCCTCTCAGCCAGGCACGGTGCTAGCTAGCCCTGGGGACGGACAATAGATATGAGTAATATGTGGCTCCACCCTCAAAGAGCTGGCAGATTAGCCAAGGGAAGTTCCTGGCATGATGGACCCATTGAACAACACACCCTTTAGTCAATGGAATAGATGTGATTCCGGAAAGTTTTCCGCTTTGCACATTTCTGGAATAGGATTCTTTTTCCCTTGACTCCCATTAATAAAGCAAAGCTACATTTCTATAGTGAAAGTAGGAACTCCCTTTAATCTCGTGGTGGAGGAAGCGGTTAGGATGGTGCTCAGCCCAAAGGCATCCTGGGCTTTAGTCTTTCTGATCTTTTTCCTGTTGGGAGTTGTGCTTCACTAGTCAATGCTTCTGTGTAACAATTTCCCGAACTTCGTAATTTCCCCTCTTCCTTTAAAACAATTCGTTTCAGTGAACATTTATGGAGCTATCTACTAGGTACCAAAGGTGCACAAAGGTCCAGTTTTTGCCATCGAGTAGTTTACAGACTGTAAACTACGTAGGATTCTAAGATGGTCCCCAGGATCCCTACCCCACTGTTGTACACACACATTCTCCCAGTTGTTCAATGAAACACTAATCTAGGTGTGAGGGATTTGGCAGATGTAATTAAGGTTCCAAATCGATTGACCTTAAAATAGGGAGAGTATCCTTGGTAGGCCTGACCTAATCAGGTGAATACTTAAAAAGGCCTGGGCTCTTCCTGGAGAGAAATTCAAAGCTTGAAGTAGGTTCAGGCAGTGGAGATCCTCCACTGATGGCTTTGGAGATAGAAGGGGCCACCTGGCAAAGATCAGAGAGTGTGTCTAGGAGCTGAGAGCAATTCTTTCCTAGCCTATAGCCAGCAAGGAAACAGAAGCTTCAGTCTTAGAATGAAGGAACTGAATTCTGCCAACGATGAGCTTGAAAGCATATTTTTCCTCAAACTTCTTGTTTTTTCCAGACAAGAGCTGAGCCTGTTACCATGATTTCAGCCTTGGGAGACCCTGAGCAGAGAACCCAGTTATGATGTGGCTGTGCTGGGACTTCTGACTTTCAGAATTGTGGGCTAATAAATGGATATTGTTTTAAACTGCTAAGTCTGTTTAAATTCTTCATGCAGCAGTAGAAAACTAAGACACAAAACTATGAAAGACAGACACATGAATATAAAAATGTAATATGCTGTTGTAAAGTTTCAAAATGTTGCCTTTTTAAAGAATTGTGGGTGCCTCAAAATAGCACATGCTTCCTTGCAATTTTACGTGTTCTACCATTGAAAGCATAATACGTGTTAGTCTGGGAATTCCAAAACTGAAGAATTCCTTAAATTTGATACAAAATGAAAAATACATTGCTTTTTTTCCTTTTTGGGAAAGGGGGAGTTTTTTTTTAAATACTGCGTTTCAAAATCTACCCAGTTTGCTCCAAGTGATGGATGACCTCAATTATAAAGTTAAATATATTTATCAAATACTTTCTGTCAGAAAATGAAAAATTCTCATGATGAAAAACAGAACTCTGGGTAGAAAGCTATTGCATAGATACCGTGCAATTGAATATATACTGTCGGTTTCCTTAGAAAGACACTGAGATAAAGAGCAAAAGCTTTGGAGTTCCGTGTCTGGATTGATTCCACCTCTGCAGTTTTAAGTTTTATGTACATCTGTAACTTCCTTAATTGCCCTGAGCCTCAGTTTTCTTTTTTGAAAACAGGGACAATAGTGAGACAAAGTACGTAAAGTCCTTATCCCAGAACCTGGCACATAGTAGGAGCTCCGTAAACACCATTGTTACTCTTAATCTGCTTCTTAGGGATGATTTGTAGGAAGATCAGCTAATGATTTTAAAAATAAAATTTAAGAGTGACATGAGGGTGATATCATGGTGAGTATGGGTCACAGATGAACCTAAATCTCATTTTTTCCAAGCATTTAGAGCAGGGTTTCTCAACAGCAGCACTGTTGGTATTTGGAGCCGATAATTCTTTCTTGTGGGGCTGTCTCATGCATTGTAAGATATTTAACAGCATTCCTGTCCTCTAGCTGCTAGAGGCCAGTAGCGTCTCCCTCTCCCCTCCCATCTCTCCACTGTGACAACCAAAAATGTCTCCAGACATTACCAAATGTACGCTGGAGGGCAAAATTGTCCTCACTTGAGAACCACAGATTTAGGGAGAAAAGTCTTGTACCAGGTCTCTGTTGGTCATTCTTATTAAGTAACTGGAAAAGTGCACACATAAAGCAGCTGAAATTCATCCTGGGAAGTCACTTGAAACTTGGTTTCTTTAAAACAAATGTAAAAGTCACCAGTTTAGATGAGAAGGCCATAAATCTTCACCCTACCTCCCTTCTCCTTAAGGAGAGTCCTACGAGCCTTCCCATGTAGGGATGTAGTCAGGCCCCATGTACAGGGCAGTGGTTATTCCAGAACTTCAGATAGGTGTTTTGTGCAGCCAGCAGGTAAAACAACACCAGGGGCTCCTGGATCCCCTTTCTTGTGTCCCAATAGCCTTGAGCCATGGTTTGGAAGTAAAAGGAAAACTAAAATTTATCCCTGTCGGTGGGTAAAGAGTTGTGCAGTCTTCCTTGTGTTTAAAGTTTTTGTTCCTTTGTAGGAAACTGGACTTTGCTATCTCTGAAAACCACCATTTGTCTTTGAGAGATGCGTGTTGGCAAGAAGGGAGGCATATTCCAACCCTACTGGCCGGGAGGTCTCAGGAGCCCAGTTTAGAATTGCAAAGACACCTACTAAAGCTGACCCTGCCACCCACCCCTGTTCCTCCATGGTTTTTATTCTAGTGTGTGTAAAGTTGACTTTCACGTATAATTTGACCTTTTATTCACTCCTACGTTATAAGTCCATTTAATTAGCCCTACCCTTTGATAAATCTGCTTCATCCGCATAGCCTTGTGGTTACACTGTAGGCAGAAAGGGAAGTGTGACTGGTTCCACGTTTACCCTTCGGTTGAACCCAAGGGAGCCTCATTGTATCAAGGGACTGTAGAGCCCAGGATGGTGGTCAGTAGAGAAGTATATGATTTGCCATAGTGCTAATGGGAGAGGTGAAAGGACCCTAAGATCTGGAGAAGCAACACCCAAGAGGGCAACACAGGAAGGATGAGAGAGCCATGCCCCCTACCCCCAACACACACACTCAAGAACAGTGACCCCAGGTGGCAGGGTGGGGAGGATAACTAGAGGGCAGACATGTGATCTGAGCTTAGGCCAAAGTTTATGTTTCATTGCAACTAGAGTCTGGAAAAAAAAATGAAATTGGAAGGTCAGCAAAAATTTAAAATCTACATAAATGAGTCATTGTGATTTACCCCAAATGCCCAATAAAGCTCAGGAACAGGATTTATTTCAGCATTCCTACACTCTGCTAGGAAAATTCATTCTGAATTTTGTTTTCGAATCTGCCAACCTTGGTTTTTACACATTTTTTTGTATTCCTCTAAAAGGTTTGGATCTAGAGTTTGAGGGAGTTATGAGTTATGTGATTTAGCTATATACATTTACCTTCAAAACATGTCTAGTTGATCAAATTCACCTGCTAAACATTCCCGTTTATATATGGCAAAGAAACAGACATATTCACATGTGATTTGGTTTTTTACTGTTTCTTTATTCATTTAAACACTTCAGTATTCTATATTGTTCAACAATCCCCCCCTTGCCCTTTCTGTCAACTAGAATAGTTTCTCATTCTCCCTATCTCTAAGCATTTGCATGGCTTTCCTTCAGTGAAATACAATACACAAAACTTCCTTTTCAGCAATATCTTATTTGTGGTGCTAAGAGACAAACACAGACTTTAAGGCAGCAA